CCCCTTCACCCTCGGGTGCCCTGTCAGGCTGGGCAGCAGGAGGGCGAGGCTCAGGCCTTGAAGAGTCCAGAACCTCGGGGAGGGGTGCCTGGGGCAACTGGACAGGACTGAGTGCTCATGGACTAGTTCAAGCCCATGGCCCTGGCAGATGAGTGAGAAGCCCAGAACTCTGTGTAGGGGTCAAGTATCAGGACGCATTTCAGAAGTGCGTTCACGGTCTGGCCTACATGTCCATGGAGGGGAGGACGTGGCAGGTCAGAGATTTTGCCCCAGCCACTGTATCGGATGCTTGGGACACAGGTTTATGCCAGTGGGGAGCTGAGGGCACCCCCAACTCTGGGAGGCAGAGCTTTGCAGCCTGGCATGCAGGGCTCCGGGTGGGTGGGAGGGGCGGGAGTGGCCACAGCCAGGGCTGTGTGCTGCATTCCAACCTGGGAGCAGCTGTGCACCTAAACGCTTGGGGGTGAGCAGTGAGACCTTGTAGCCCGAGGCATCTGGTCCCTCTGATGGCCCTGTTCTGCATCCATTACACAGCTGGGGAGGGTCTGCTCCTGGAGGGGCCAGGACTGCCCATCTCATTCAGAGCCTCTGCCAGGCCCACTGTATTTCGAAATGGAGAGAGGGAGGGTGGAAGGAGAAGAGGACTTTATATGCCCGGGGCTCTGAAATGTTGGGGTTTGGGGAGACTACAGCACGAGGAAAGGTCATGGACGAGCAGGCCCATGGCGCAGGCATGGCTGAAACCCACCCAGCTCTTCACCAGGCCACCCTGTCATCGACCAGTAATGTAACCTTAGGCAAATCTTCCTGTGCCTCCGTTTCCCTGACAGTAAACGGGTAAAATTACCTACCCTATCAGCAGGGTCAAAATAATATAATAGAAGTGAAAGTGTGTTAAAAAGAATGAAAACAATTCAAATCAGTTACCATGGTAAGTACAGCGGTGCCTCGGTACCAGTCGTTAATTCACTCTGGAACTCCTGATAAGTCCGAAACCCATGAGTAAACAAATGATGAAGCATTTTCTTTTGTGGGGCAGCATTGTGACTCACAGGTTCTATCAAGTACGAGTCCGAGCAAACACCGAGCACTGAAATATTTTTTCTCAGCAAAATGCGAGTTTGACAAATTCTGAAGCCAATGAATACTGAGGTGTGACTGTACTGGGAATAACAGCTACAAGTCTACTAAGAAGCTTAGTCCTTGCAACTTGGGAAGCAGAGCAGCCAGAGACCCAGGGTTGCTGGGAAAGCAAAAGCCAGGGGAGTGTGAAAGCAAATCAAGGCTTCTCTCCCCGACCATGAGCTCTAACTGCTGCACACAGCCACCACCACGGCTGACTGACTGCAGCCGGGGAGGAGGGTGCTAGATCACCAGCTCAGGTGGGACTGCGGAAAGAAGGGCGGCCTGGCTCCCAGGGAGAGGAGCTGGAGGGCTGGGCTCCCTACTGCTTTACCAGATCCTGCTCGGCCTGCTGGAGGCGTGTGCCTCCCTGGTGTGCACCCCACAATTTGGAGTCCTGACCTGGCCTCCAGCCTGCCTCAGACTTGCACAGGGAAGCTAAGGATAAGGGCTAGGGGCGGGTGGGAGTATGTGTGTACTTAGAGGAAGAATTGCCCTTCCATTCTGTTCTCCGCTGTAAGGCACACACATTGCCTCTCTGCTCTACCTCCCTCCCTTTAGGTAAAGGAGTTTTTTAAAGGCTTGATCTCACACTTCCTTCTCCCAGCCATGCCACGAATTCCTCCTCCCACCACAGCTCTCCTGAAGCTGGGAGCCCACCCCCTGCCCACACAACCCGGGCTGCCAGGATGCCCCACCCACCCCACTCCTGGGCAGTCATGGGGACAGAAGGCTACACCCCTCAGAACTAGAGTCACTGTCATCTAGAGCCTTTCCCTCCTCTGCTGTGACACAGCCCAGTCACTGGGGCCTTTCACTCCAAGTCTTTGGCCTCCAGCCACCCCGGGCACTGCTCTCCTGGCAAGGCCTCTCCCACCAGGCTGAGGGGTCCTGTGCAAGGGACAGAAGCAGTGGGGAAGCTGACAGGCAGCCTAGGCTGCAGGGAGAGTCACAAGTCACCAAAGTCCTGTAGGGACCAGGTGTGACCACGGACTAGAGGAGAAACACTGATGGGGACATTGGCCTCCACCGGGCATGGCCCGTTGCGCAGGGCTGGTCTCCCTCCAGTCCGAGAGGATAGGGACAGGCTGTGGCAGGCTGTGGTCATGCCTAAATCCCGACAATGTGTTTAGAAGAAAGGAAAGCCATTGGGAGTCCTGACTCACCAAGACTGGGGCTCAGCCTTGTCCTGATTACTCAGCTCTAGAAGCTTCTGTGCCCAGTGGTCCTCCGTCTCCACCCCAGACAAGGGAACTGGCTTGGTTGCCCCACCACCTGCTCCAGCCCAGGTCCTCCCTGGGGAGTGGGCTCTGCCTGGCTTCACCCGAGGCGATGCTATCCCTCCGTCAGGCTGAGGACAGGGGACTGCCCACAGCTGTCATGTCGGCTGTGGGGGCAGAGCTGCAGTTTGACTGGTTTGTCACTAAGAACAGGACTGAGACCACACCCATCTTACAGATGGAGAAATGGAGACAGAAAACCGTTCATGGACTCGCTCAGACTCACTTGGAAACCTGAGGTTTAACCCCAGTTGTGCTGCCGCCTGCTAAGGGTTCTGACACTTTCTGGAAGCAGCTTGCATGCACCCGTGAGCACGGAGATGAGAGGTCTGGCAGTGCAGGGGTGAGGGGAGGTGGGGCGTGTCCAGCCTGAGCCCCAGCAGATGTACCTGCTGAGCAAGGGCAGGGCCGACTTCCTCTACGGGCCCTGGAGCCTGTTGCTCCATACCCACCCCAGGCGCACTCCCAAGGCCAAGAGGTCCCTCTTGGACACACATTGCACCACTTCCCCCCGCCAGGCCCAGGGCCATGGGGAGCAGAGGGGGCGTCCTCCCAGTAACTGGTTCCCAAGGGACATGCCAAAAATAGGACTTAATGCTGACAGAGCCTGCTGGGACCACTGTCACCACCGGTGAGAACTCCTGACTTCCTGGAACGCTGTGAGGCCTTAGCAAGAGATGGACTCCCCACAGAAGCCTATGCCTCAGCGTCCTCTCTGACACTGCCCCCCCCCAACCCCTGAGAGACCTCGATTCACTGTGAGCACCTGGGGACAGGCCAGGATGAACTCCAGGCCAAGGGACAGGAAGTGGAGCCAGAGGAGGCAGTGGGAGGACAGAGTTGTAGCTGGGCTGTCATAGTCTTCCCAGACCCCGTCAGGAGCCGAGGGCTTCCCTGGCCAGCGGATGACAGGCGCTCTAGGCTCCAGCAGGTGCGGTGGCCAGGGGGGTTGGATCTGGACAGCAGTCAGCCACCTGGGAGCCCTGCCTGGGTCCCGGAGACCACGCTCGGGCTGTGGAGTGGCTCCGTCAGCCTCTCTGGGTCCACCCCAGGGCACAGCACCTCCTCCTCAACTCCAGGGCTTCTTGGCCACACCCCCACAGGGCTGGGCTCAGAACACAGGCATCTGTTAATTCAGGGTAACAATAAGGCTCTTCAGAGACCACCGCTCCAGAACAAACAGCCTCGACCACACCCAACTGTTTATCTCCTATGCTGTGGAAAGAAAAGCAGGACCAGCCCTCCCACGCCTGGCCCTACCCCTGCCACGCACATGCCACACTCATGGGGACAAACCCCAGGGGCCAGGAGACGGCCGGACAACAAAGCCATAAGCACAGAATCCAGAAAAAACCTGGTGTGGAGAGCGCTCTATTGAACACAGAGTCCTGGCGCCTGCTCTGCTCTCCCACCCACTCCAGGGTCTCTGCCCCCCATTCCTCGGCACGGGCCCTGATCATTCCGCTCTGAGGTCCTCCTTGGCCGACAGTCATCACAGGGGACAGCTGCCTCCACGCTGCCAGATCCAGGGCCTCAAGTCCGCTTCTCGGAGAGCCCTGCCCAGCTGTGGCCAGCCTGTGGGCCCCTTGGCCCAGGCGCGCCCTGGCTTTCCAGGCGGGAAGTGCCTGCTGTTCCAGCCCCAGCCCCTCCTCATGGCTCCAGCTCCCGGGAGAGGCGGGACAGTTCCCGCTGGTTGTCAATGACCTTCAGCTGTTGGACATAGGCCCAGGCGCTGCTGGGACTCCGGGTGCCCAGGGACTGCTCCGAGCCTGGCGGAATGGGCGGGGGAGGGGGTCAGTTCAGGGAGAGCACAGACACCACTTGTCGAGTCCATCCCCCGCCCCTCCAAGGAGCAAGCCGGCCCTCTTGCCGCCCGCCATCCGCCCTGCCATGTCCCGCCGCCGGTCCCCAAGACTGCCGCCCTCACCCCCACCGACCTGCGGGCAGAAGAGGGCAGGCCCCAAGAGTACATATAGTATAATAATACCTCTTTTACTAAGTTCAAAAGCAATCAAAACTAAGGAATATTTTGTTGTCATATATATGTATACATATGCACACATCTATAAATGAGGCATTTAAAATATACATGTATATATGTATATTTATGAAAACAAGAAAATAAGTAACTCAAAATTCAGGATCGCAGTGAGCACAGGCGGGAGGCCAGGGGACAGGAGAGGGGAACGTCACACAGAGTGAGGCAGTGTTGTCAACACGCTCGCGCGTGGGCTGGGTCCAAGAATGTTCCTGACACTGACAGAATAAACACGCACGTGAAGTAAAATAAAGGGCCATTGATAACAGTGTGGCTCGGATGTGGCGTGTGGTTAATCCCATTTCATGCAACTGAGGGCGATTTTTAAAATGCGTGTCGGAAGCCAGACAGCCTGGGCCTTGGCTCTCTCGCTAACTCGTGTGGCCTTCTGCAAGTCACTTTAAATACACAAGCCCATTTGCACACCTTCAAACTGGGGAGACATTCCAGCTACTCTTAGAGGCGTGGTAATCAGTGTGTATCATACATGTATCATGCATGCAAGAACCTATGCCTGCCAGTCAGGGCTAACTCATCAGCACCACCCTGCCCCCACTTACACGTGGAAATCCTTGCCAGCTGGCCGTCCTCGTGGAGGTGGGAGACGCGGCTTCTGAGTGGTGAGAGAGGCACTGGGTGGGAGGAGAGGTGGGGGTTAGGGAGACAGAGTCAAGCCCCACAGCGATGCTGTGGGGGGCTCCTACCCAGGGAGACCAGCCTTCTCACCGTAGCTGTGGCTTCGGCAGTGGTGCAGCATCCGCACGGCTCTGGCCATCATTCTCTGCAGACAGAGCAAGGACACAGGACTTGGCCTGAGGGCAGAACCCTGGCCTGGCCTGTGAAGCAGCTGGGGACCAGAACTCCCTTTGAGCAGGGTGCTCCCAGAGACTAAGAAGCTGTAAGAGGGGGTCGTGTCTGCTTCTCCTTTGCACAGGCAGAGGCCCAGCAGGGACCAGGAAGTGGGAAGAAGAACGAAGGTCGGGACGGGCTCCAAGAGGAAGGGGCCTGGGAGGGGCTCTCCTTGAACGGTGAGACTGTTGAGGCTGCCCCGTCAGCAACCCCACAGAACAGGCCCTCCCGACACAACGGGGTTAGGCCTGCTATGTTAACATAAGTATTCACATTCATATTATTAATAACTGCAGACCATTTCCCAAGCCCTTTCAAGGTCATAGTCATGTCCCCCAACCCACTCCAGTAGTAAACAACTACTCTCCTTGAACTCACCATCTTCTCAAAGTTGATGAGATTCTCCACCAGGGTGTGGTTCCCCTCATGGATAAAGGTCATGTCTGCAAAGAAACAGATTTTGCTCAGAGGTCTCCAAACGCCTTCCCTTTCCGGCAGCCCAGGGGAGGCGAAGGGCCTGCCCCACCCCCACACCGGCCTCCGCCTCTGGCTCCCCTCCGACCTCCCGGAGTAGTTCCTTGTATCCCTGAGGCCCCTTACCATAGGCCATCCAATGTCACCAATAACTGTCTTCATGTCCTAACTCTGCTTCTAGCCTGTGAACACCTAATTCAACTCTGTGCCCCCACCCCAGGCGTCAGCACATTGGAATTACTCAGAGAGGGTTGGGTGGACGTGCAGACAGACACAAGAACGGATAACAGGATGGAGGCCGGAGGGTAAGCTCGAGTCCTATTACCTTTGAGGAGAAGGGGCATGAAGGGGATGACGGGAGGGGAGAGCTTCGTGAGGGCCAGTCGGTACACTCGGTGGTTCCAGGAGGGGTCCTGGGAGGGGAGAAGTCAGTGAGATGGGGGTCCCCCACTCCATAACCTGCCACACACGACACAGCCCCATGCCTCACCCACCCAAAAGAGCAGCATGCCTGTCTGTGCTGGGGCCCAGCTCCTCGCCAGCCCCAGCTCTCACCAAGGCGGGCTCTGCGGAAAGGCTGCATGCGCCTGTGGCTGCCTGGCATCCAATTAGCCCCCAGGGGAACTTCGTGGCCAGCAGTCACAGGGGCCCGCAGTTTCCACAGATCTCTCTCTTTCTGTGTCTCTCTGTCCACCGCCCCCTCCCCCAACAGGTAAGTTCCTTTGAACCTCTTGAGCCCCATGAGGTGAATTTTCTTTCTCAAGAGCTCCGAGAGCCATCCTGATAAAGAAAAACACCTCTGAGCCAGTTCTCTCAAACACTGTCAAACACTCCCAAAACCCCCAACAGCTCCTGGCGGCTGAAGTTCAGCTCCTCAACTCCTTCCTCATTTTTGGCCTTGTCTGGCCCACAGGCGCCTGGAGTGTCCCAAGGGCCCACTGACCAGCCCTGGCATGCAGCAGGGGAGGGTGCAGGTGCTGGGGCCTGCTTTCCGAGGCTTTCGGCAGGTTGGCAGGGGCCCAGCGCCTCCCTATTCCCCCCCGGCAGCTCAGACCTGGGGCCGGACACTGCGTGTGCCTGTTCTGGTCTTCACACAGGACTCAGAGCCACAACAAAGGCACCCCCCCCAGTACCTACACATGCTGAAGGGTGTAACACTCTGTGTTCCTCCACCATGATGCTAAACACCGGATCCCTGAACATATTCAGAGGGAACCAGGCCCTGGACGAGCTGAGGCCCAGCACTTACCAGCAGCCTCTCAAGGGCCGAGTACAGCTTCCGGATTTTGTGGGGCAGCCGCTGAGAAGGAGAGGTCAATGGAGACGTCACTGCTCTGGGGTCGGAGCCCTGTCCCCACCAGGACTCCCAGGATGGGCTTGCAGCCAGACCTCAGGACTGAGTCAGTGTGGGGGAGAGGGCACCTGACCTCCCCTTCTGGGTCACACCTACCTCCCAGGTTTGGGCCAGGCGGCTGATGGCCGAGTTGCTGAGGCCAAACATGACCGCAAAGAAGGAATTGAGGTTCTTTTGTTCCTTGAGGCTGTCAGCAGAAAAACCAGAGACCCTCAGGGGAAACAGCCACACCCACAGAGCTTCACATCAAGACAACATCCAGGCCTGGGACCCACCCAGACCCTGGCCAGGCCAGCACAGCCATTGCTGGGGGGGGGGGGAGCCGGGGGGTGCGCAGGGCTGGGGGGACGGGACGACTGGAGCTGGATGCGGTGGGGAGGCAGAGGCTCCAGAGGACCAGGGGGTGGCAGATTTGGCAACATACTGACCAGGGACAGGATGGGGGCACAATTAAGAAAAAGTGGCCTAGGGCCTCTGCCACACCTCCCACAGACCCCACAGGCACGCACTGGGCTGCCAGCTTGATGAACTTCCTGAGCAGCTGGGCCCGAGGGCCGGGTATGGGGCAGAGACACAGCTCCGTGGCCACCCAGTACTGCAGCTCGTTGAAGCGGCGCATGAACCGCTCCAGGTTGGCGGTGGTGACGTCCCGCAGGTGCTGGGGGCCCAGCACATAGTAGATCAGTTCCACCTGTGTGGGGGATAGCACGAAAGATCAGTGCAGGCCAGGCGGGGCGCCCCGCCCCCTGCTGTCTGCCCCTCAGCTCTGCTCCCTGCACCTGGTGGATACTGTTGAAGAGGTTCCAGTCGTGGTCCGTCAGCTGGCCTGCCAGGTCCTTGGCGCTCACCAGGTCTAGTCCCTCGGCAGAGCCCACAGTGGGCCCCAGCTGCTCAGGGTGTGGGGTCTGCAGGTGAGAGAGTACTCAGAGGGCTGCCCAAGGGATCCAGAGCAAAGGGATCAGATGGGAGGAAAGAATTTGGGGGAGACTCTGTACCCAGGATCAGAAGCGCGTTGGTATGGGCAGGGGTGCTGAGGGAGTGAAGGGGCCTCTAAAGCATGGGACTTCCCAAGAAGGCATCTTCCTGTCAGATCCCCAATACTGAGACCCCTGCTTGTAGGGCCTCTACCCCCTGAGGAACCCCTAATGGGGACAGGCCTTCCTCTTTCTCCTTTAGGGCTCCCAACCAGCGGTCCCCGCCTCCATCCTTTGGAATACCCAATCGGCTGAGGCCCACTCTTCCCAGTGCCCCTTCAGGCCCAGCAGCAGCCACACCAGGCCCCCTCCCTCTTCTCTGTGACCCTCCCTCAGCACCTGTCCTTACCACCCCCAAGACACAGATGGTCCCTGGGTCCTGGCACCCTGCCTATTCCTACCAGCTTATGCACTTCCTGTGGGTTGACAACAAAGAGCCGTTCGTTGAGCCCCAGGGATGTGGCCACACCACGGGCATCTGGCTGCAGGCCAATGGCATCTGCAAAGAGAGCAGAGGCTGCACTGGAACAGGGAGCGGAGCCAGGGAGCAGCTGGAGGCCGGGGAGTGGCCCTACTGGAGGCCGGGGAGTGGCCCTACTGGGGGCTTGGAGGTTCTTCTCCCAGGATCAGGGTTAGAGTCCCGGGCCAGTGCTCTAAACGCACAGGTGCACGTGCCCAGGTAGCATATCTGAGGAGGATGAAAGAGGACAGGAAGTGAGACAGGAAGAGACCTCGGGCAAGGTGGGAATCACCCTGAGCCTCAGTTTCCTCCTTTGTCAAATGGAGACAATAAGACTTACCCTGACTATGCACAGTCAAATGAAATAAGTTATATAAGTATTGGCTAAGAATATGATACTTTTCATAGCCCTCTGAAAATTGGGAAATGCCTTAGAGAAGGCTTGGTGTTGATTTTCATCAGCTCATGTGGACTGGGACTGTGCTTTAAGTCATGTTTGAGTCCTCAGTCCCTGGACCAGTAGCTTCCAAAGTAAGGTAGGCTTTGCCATCCATTTGTCCAGGAAAAAATATTAGTTCTACTTTAAATTTATCTTTTCTCATCTGTTTTACAACTCTATTTTGTGTACCACTTTATAATTACATAACCTTAGTGTAGGAATTCATGTGTATGACTTATAAGCAAATATACACAGAGCAAGGGGTTTGTAATAAAATACTGGTTCCTGACAAGGTGCCTATACATGTTGGTTTTGTGCAACTGCAACTCTTCAGATGGCCACCAGAGAGCAGTGCTTCCAGAGCACTAATAGGCACAGGTGACTTCATCCTTTCTACCCAAGTCCTGAAGGGAGGTTTTTCTTTTCTGCCTCCACTCCTTGCCATTATTCTCTGGATGTCTCTAATTCCTGTCTACCCTGGGCTCCAGCAGTCAGGCCTGTGTGGCATCCTTCGCAGACAGCAGTGTTTTTTTTAAATGTCCCAAGTTCTTCAAAGACAGGTCTCAAAAACCCATGCTGCCATGTTCTGAGCGCTGACTTGGTGCCGGACCCCAGCTCCGTGCTTCACACCCAGCACCTCATTTGCTAGTCACAGCAGACCTGTGTGATAGGTCCATTTATAGCGCACATTTGACAGACGAGGAGAGAGAGGCTCAGAGAGGTTCAACAACTGCCCGGGATTGCACACCTAGTAAGCAGTGGGCCTCAGGTTCCAACACAGGTCTGGGAGTCTGGTCTACACTCTTAACCACCAAGCTGTGTTATCTCCCCTGCCACGGCACCTCGAGCTCCTAACGCATTGCTGGTCCACAGCTGATCCTCAAATATGCTTGCTGACTGACAAGATGAATGGGCATGAGGGAGTGAAGGGGCCTCTAAAGGATGGGACTTCCCAAGAAGGCATCTTCCTGTCAGATCCCCAATACCGAGACCCCTCCTTGTAGGGCCTCTACCCCCTGGTGGACCCCCTAATCGGGGCAGGCCTTCCTCCTTCTCCTTGACAGCTCCCAACCAGCTGGCTACACTCACTGTGTGAGCTTGAGGAAATCACTTAATCCCCATGAGCTTCAGTTTTCTTGTCTGAAAATAGGATAAAAGGACCTATCTCTAGTATTGTTACTGGACTAAATGAGCATGTACACATGACAATAACAGCAGTAGCAGCTAAAACCTAAGGAGTGCAGTGTGCCAGACACCATTCTAGACACTTCCACAGATGAGTTCACTAGTCGTCACAGTCCCTCCCTGAAGCAGGTACTCTCATTACACCTGTTTTACTGATGACGAAACAAAGCTCGGGGAGATGAAGTACCCTGCCCAGGGACATACGGACAGCGAGCTGAGGGGCTGACATCAAATGCAGGCGGCAGGTTCCAGAGCTCATGCTGTTAAGCACCACACTTAAAGCACTTTGAAGGGACATCATCAACCTCCCCTAATCACACTGACGAAGATGATCAAAGTGAATGATTTTAACTGGGGGCTCTGGGCATGGCTCTAAGGGGGTTCCCGCCCTTGGGGCCACCCGACTCAGACACACAACTCACCACCTGCAGAGTTGACTTTCACCAGCACCTGTCCCTTGGTCCAGCCATCCTCCTGGGCCAACGCCGCCATCACCTCTCTCACTGACGCGGTCACAGGCAGCTGTAGGGTCACCACCGAGTGGTCTGGCCGGCAGATGTCATAGGGGACTGGAGAGGAAGACCAAACTGAGCTGTGGGAGGGGCTGCTTGGTTTCCCCACCCCAGGAGAGAGAGGGCAGCCAGCAGTGGGCAGGGTCCCCAGGAGGCAGGCAAGGGTGCTAAGGAGAGGCCTGGGTGGGCACACGGCACACAGCAGGTGGGACACCCTGAGCCAAGGAGAGGGAGAGGCTGGAACTGATGCCCCAAGGACTATAGGGTGCCATACTTGGCCTGGCACACTGCGGTCTAGGGTGACCACAGCAGGGTGTGGGCCATGTCCCGGCTGGCCCAGATCACCAACCTTTGTCCCCAACTCGGATGGTACAGTTGCTGCTGGGGAAGGGCTCATCCTGGCTAGGGAGCCAAACAGGCATGTTCCGGGCCTGAGAGGGAAAGAAGGTGAGGCCGGGAGGACACAGAGGGGAGCATGCAGGGCCAGGCGGGGCCTCATCACTGGGAGCACGGGACCTGCACAGCATGCACACCACCCAGGGCTCAGCTCGCTGAGTGCACCCAAGCCAGGTAAGACCCTGGGACCAAGAGGGACGGAGCAGGGCTGAGACGGAGGGTGCACCCCTCTGCGGTGCTTCAGCCCCCGTCACACAGGCCCAGAGCTGTTCGGATGTGAAAGTCCCCCATCTGGTTTCCTCCTCCCCATCATCCTTTGGTGCCGTTTGCTAGGTTGCTGTTTGCTACATGCCAGGCTAAGGACACGCTTTCTCTAAGTTCTGTATTTCTATGTACTTTTTGCCCAAATTTTTGAGGGAAAAATAAGGATGCACATTATATATGGGCAGCACTAATTGGTTACTGGTACATAGCATTTCTTCTGCCTTGTATCTGTTCTTGTGTTTTGTAATTATCTATTATGCAAAATTTCTTGTACCATAATATATTCAAAAATACATGCTAAAATTCCTTTACAATACAAAAAACCGAGTATCTAAATATAAATAAATAAGTAACTGGATTGAAAAATTAAAATGAAAGGTTTTTTTTCTGAAAGTTTGGGCCAAAAACATGGCGGCTCATTACACATGACAAAATATAGTATTTAAATATTCAGAATAATCCTTTGACAAAAGTATTATTGTTATTATTCCCACTTTATAGATCAGATAAACCAGGCTGAGAGGTCAAATAACTCGCCCAGGGCAACACAGCTGCTGAGCAGCCCGGTGGAATGCTACCCAGCGCCTCCCTCACCCTGGGTCAGCTGCCCTCTCAAACCCCACGACCCCCGCCCCACCCCGGCCCCAACCACAGCAGGCTGAGGGGGCCGCCCCTGCTGGGCAAAGGCCCCCCTACCATGGCCCCTCTGCCCGCCCAACTGTCCTTTCCAACCCCTGTACTAACAACTCTCTTCCTCCTCGAAGCTGAACGTGGCAGATCAGGTTCAGACCTAGACCGTGACTCGCCCCGGATTCCCCAATCCCAGGATCTCCCCGAGCTCCTCTAGCAGCCTCACGGGCCATCTGCATGTGAAAGACTCTTAAAACCAGACCACCAGCGCCAAATTCTCTTCCAAGCCCTGGTCTCAGATGCCTCCTGGATCCTGCTGCATCTGTGCTCCGCCGGCTCATCCTGCCTCTCGGACCACCCCTCCTGGCCATTCTCCTGGGCTCACGGCTCCTGCCTCACCCACCTCCCCACGGCTTGTCATCGTGTCCTTCAGAATGGGTCTCCCTGTATCCCCCTCCCCAGCCCAGGCCAACCCTCCAGTTCCACCTGCCCACATCTCCTCACACCTTATCTACTCCAGTGGCCCAGCCATTCTCCTGCACCGTCAGCCCTCTGGGGCCTCCCTGCCTCCTCTTCCAATCTGCCTGACCACAGCCAGATGAAGCTTCCTAACCCGGCTACAAGCCGGCCACTGTCTGCTGGTAAGTACAGGCTCCCTAAGTGACCTCTGCAAAACACAAACCTGACCTTGTCAATCCCTGGCGCAGATACCAACAACTCACACTGCTCTGAGGACAAGGACCAAACCCCTCACCACGGCCCCTGCCTGCATCCTTGGCTTCCTCTGCCGTCCCCTCTGGCACTCCCTCCTCCAGAGCTCCCCCTCATACCTGCCAGCAGTCTCGCCCTCCACCCTCACCTTGCAGCTCTCTCAGCACCTGCAGTTACTTCCCAAGGACACTCCTCTTGACCCTGACCCTGAGTCAGTCAGTACCTTTCCTGTCTTCAGAGACCCTGCCTTAGCCCTTAGACATCGTGAGATTGTTCAGCACCTCTGTTCCTCACTCGACTGTAAGCCCTTAGGGCCAGGGTGGTTCTCCCAGCCCACTAATGCGTCATGGCTCCCAACAGAGCTCCCAGGAGGGCACCGGAGGACCGTTCCACGCTGGTTCCTGAGTGCCAGCCACAGGACAGGGAGCATGGTGAGCCCTGGGGAATCAGAGGCCAAGGTCCCGCAAGCGTGAAGCCAGCAGTCTAGGGGGATGTGAGAGACACTAATAGCCAAGAAGCAACTACACAAATACAACAACTCCACATAGTGACAAATGCTTTGCAGAAAATTGTAGTGGATACCTTGGAAGACACTGGCCAGTAGAGGGGTGCTCTGAATAGAGAGATGCAAGGGGGCCTCTCTGGGAACCCAACAATTTGGCTGAGATCAGAACAAGAAGGATCCAGGTAGGCAAAGAGCCAGAGAAAGAAAGATCTTGGCCCTGAGATGGGAACAAGCTTCACCCACAGAAGAGAAGGAGCCCATAAGCATCTTCGGCAGGGAGAAGGGGCGATGGGCAAGGTGGGAGGGACAGCTGGGGATGGGGACACCAGAAAGCCCAGGTGAGGCCTCGGGATTTTATTCCCAGTGCAACACTCCCAACCTACCTTTCCAGTCCCTTTTCCCGCCACTATTCAACCAAATCTCAGCTCCAGTCACCTCTTCTCATCCCCCTTTGCTCCCCCTGGGACCTGCTGGGAACAGCACCGGCCACCTCTAACTCCTAGCAGGGGCCTGCCTTCCTCTGGGCTCCTGGCACGGCCACCAGGAGCCACTGGGCCTCAGAGGCTGCCTTCAGGAACCACGCCTCACCTCGCAGGCAGGGACCGGTAACTGGCTCTAAGGGTGAGGGTGGGGCGAAGGGGTGACCTTAGACCTCTGTGTCCCCACAGGACATGGCCCCGGCACCACACGAAGCCCCCATGAGGCCAACCCCAACCCGAGGGTGTGTCTGTGTGGGGGAAACCTTCCGCCGGAGCCCCTGAGATGGGGGATGAAAGAGGGGCCGCGCAGTCCCCAGAGGAGCAGAGGGAGGAAGGTGGGGTTGACAGAGGCGAGGGCAGCTGACTCAGGGCAGACACCTTTATCTGAGGAGACGCACTCCCACAGCCATTCTCCAACCTGTGGAGCAAGGGAGAAGGGAGGTGAGACTGGAGGCCAGCGACCCCTGCAGGCTGGACACCCCAGGGCCAGCAGCAGGGAGGTGCCCTGGGCTCTGGATCCTGTCCGCCCTCACCCAAGGCTTGGTTACCCAAAGAGGGGTGACCCTGGGGCTGAAGGTGGGACCCCAGCTCCTGTGACTTTCCTAGGCCAGCAGGGGAGGGGAAAAGTTCAAGCGGAAAACGGACCCAGAGGTCAGCTGGATCAGGCACCAGTTCAGGTAAGTGTCCCCACGGGAAAGTCTGGGATATTTACTGGGCGGGGCCGGCAGGAACTGGCGCTGATGGCGCTCGGTAATAAACATGTGCCAAATGGAGGAAGTGAGAACAGCAGGTGCACTCGGGAAAGTGACACACAAATGACGGCGTGATGTGTGAGAATGGCCCAGTGTGTGACATGAGGGCAAACAGCAAGGGGACCGGCGGGAACAACTAATTGAAACAAGCGGCACTAGACCAATGAGCTACTGTAGGCAACGCTGGCATGGTGTGCGCATTTGCAAGGCGCTGCTCTGCACCCTGAAGGTGCAGTAACTTATTCCACCCGTGCGATGAGGTGGGCGCTCACCCAGATTACAGACAAAGGCCCGAAGCCCTGTGGGCAATGTGCTCAGGGCGGCCCAGCTGTAAGCGGTACAGCCTGGATTTAAAGGCACGTGTTTGAGTCCAGAGTTGGTGCTCTCGATTTTGAGTCACTGCCTGTCGTGCATGTTTGGTTCTAAGTTAACTCAGAGCCAAAGCATTACCTGTGGTGTCGCCGCCTCTCTGGCCACTGCTCCCGAAGCAGGTTGCTAAGCCGGGCATCCCTGCTCACCAGGTCTGAGAGTTTCTGGGAGGAGCCAAGATTCACTGAGATGCTGTAGCTGTGTCCACCTGGGTAGCCCTGTCCAGCCCTGCCTCACTCCCAGGTACCTGGAGAAAGCTGCTGGCCACAGGGTCAGTGTGCAGCATGGGGCCATACAGGGCCACCCACTGGCTGACCAGCCGCAGGATCTGCTGTCTCTTGTTGCAGATGTAGGTGTTACGCTCCTGCTCACTGCCTCCGGCGGGCTCCGCATGGAAGGTGGGTACCAGTCAAGGAAACCACAACATCCAACTGAGCCTCTCACCATACCTCACACAAAGGAGGGGCAGGATGCTGACAAGCTGGGCCCGGCACCGGCATGAGGCTGGTGCTTTGGAGGTTTTGGCACAGCCATGCCATGAGCAATTCCTTCTCCCTACTCCACACGGCGTCCTAGTCACCCTGGGGCTGGAAGGATATTGGTGCAGGAGGGCCGCGCAGAACTGGGTGCTGGGCATGAAGACTCTGTGAGTCAGGAGGAAATCACTGAGGAATGTCTCTGTAGGAGGGGAAGGGAGGGGGAGATAGGTGGGAGGTGGGGCTTCAGAGGTCAAGCCCACTGAACACAGGGACACAAGCAGCTGGGGTGTCCATCCCCCAATCCCACATGGTCAAGGTACCACCAACACCCAGTCCCCATGACTGCACTCCCTACCCAAGTCAACAGCTCAGGAATGAAGACTTCCTGCTGACTGACCCCACGGACCAATCCAGCACCCCATGAGATCAGGCGCAGATGCCTGGCTATCTCCCAGGTTGGGCTGACCACCTGATGAATCAGAGAGCAGGCAGGTGTCTCCTGCCCCTACCTGTTGGGTCATGAGCACTGGAATCAGGCCTCATGGCCTCCAACAGCAGTTCTAGGATCTTCTCCGGGGTCCCAGACATCACTGTATACCTAGTAGAAATGGCCCATCCATGACCCCGTGCCACCACTCCCCCTACCACAACCAGGGCAGATGCCAGGAATCAGTCATATCACTCCTCCTGTCTTGCAGCCATGCCCATCTTGGGGTGGAGGAGTGGCTGGTTCAGGGGGCAGCCACTTAATCAGCCACTGATTAAGGGGGCAGACATCCTTAATCCCTGGATGTCTGTCCACCCTCAGGAGGTCAGCAGCCAGGGGTATGACACAGAGGAAGGGAGTAAAGCCCGGGAAAAAGGAGAGCAGGTGGAGAGGGAGCTTGGTGGGTATGTTACCGGTTCCTGCCTGGGGTTGGGGGGCAAGAAGAGCCAGCGCCCTGCGAGGTTCTCTCCAGCACCAACACCACCTTGCCATGTTCTTCCAGCCTCATGGTCTTTGCTTCCACATCCTGGAGATCAAGCCATACCCAGTGCTCAGCACACACCATTGTCCCTTTCCCATTTCTAGGGCCTCTCCCTCCACCTCCCTGATTCCGGACCCTGAGCCCCACAAGGGCCCTCAGCCCTTCTCCCACCCTGTTCAACTCCCCAGCTTGGATCTGCTCCTCGCTCCCATCCCTCCTCAGCCTCAGCCCCTCCTCTGCTTCACGCCTCTGTGGTTCCAACCCTCCACTACACTGCCCCCCACCCCCTGCCCCCACCCCGCTGTAGCCCCACTACCCCCTGGTCTCTCACACACAGTGGGGTTCGCAGGGCTCACTGAACCTCCTCAGCAGGCTGCGGACCTCCGCACAGGCCCAGGGCTGTGCTCCCGCCTCCAGCTATTGTCTCTGAGCATCTCCCTCTCCTCTCTCTCCCTCCTCCTCACAGGCCCTCTGGTCCTTCCTCCTGCCCACGCTTCTCCAGAGAACTGTCCTGGCCATGTCCCTTGCCCTCCCCATCCCCAGTAACAGCACCTTGATGATACGGTTGAAGTCCTGCTTGTCCACTCGGAGAAAATGACAGTTGTCTTCTCGCAGGATGATGGTGGCTGCTCGGGGTGCGTCGTTCACCAGAGCCAGCTGTCCAAAGTCATCTCCCTCGTGCAGTGTGGTCACCAGGCCCTGTAGCCAGGCCTTAGTCACAGCCCAACTGCCCAACCCCCAGCCCTCGTGGAATCGGCCCATGTTGGGGAGAAGCACAGAGGCAGGAGAAGACTGGGGTGATCGGCAGCCTTGGGCCCACCAAAGGCACTGCCCGTGAGGGCATGAACCAGGGAGTAGTTACCACCCAGGGGCCTAGGGAAAAAGGGAGGACTCACCTTGCCATGGGTCACCACATTGACAGATCCCTTCCAGATAATGTACCACGAGGTACCCTTGTCCCCCTGGCTGAACACTGAGAGGTGCACAGATCAGACATGCCCCCAGTACCCACCCCTTCTTCTCTGTGGCCTCCATCCCTGCCCAGGTCCCTGGTGCCCAGCTGCCTGTCAACTGGCAGACTTACACACAGTCCCCGCCTTGCTGTGTGGTTCAAAGAGCAGGACCGCCGCCAGTTCCCGCTTCACCTGTGGGGCAGAGAGGGGAGGGTCAATGGGCAAGTCCAGGAGCTGAGGACCAGGTTAGAGGGAGGACCAAAGACATGAGTGCTCAGACACAGAGAGGTAGCTGGTCAGTTGGCCTGGGATTTGACTGGAGACCATGCAAAGCGAGGCAATGAGCTAAGAGAGGCAGAAGGATTTTCAGACAAGGATGCTAGGAGCAGGAAATCAGATGGAAATTTCCAATTTCCATAGGCAGAAGGGGGGGCAAGTATATGCTGGCCTAGCAGCCGTGCTCCTCAAGGCGCTCACAAGGAGAGGAGGCCTGGGGAAGGGGCAGGGCGGGGCCTGCGGACTGACCGAGTTGGAGAGGCGGGCCACGGCCTTGATGTGCAGCAGCTCCTCGAAGATGAGCTCCAGCTCCTCATCTGTGCGCTGGCCTGGGCTGCAGGCAGGGGGGCAGGAGCGAAGGATGAATTCTGGGCCCAAGGCCAGGGGTGTGGACCACTCACCCACCGAGCACAGGCCTGGGGTCAGCCGGTGCCTCAGCGAGGACTGCCATCACTAACAGCCAGCCACTCCCAAGTGCACGCTGTGTGCCTGACCCGGACAAAGCGCTGCACATGCAGTGCCCTCACAACACCCCGTGACGTGGTATCCTCATTCTCCTTGAGAGAAGAAGAAGCCGGCGTGGAAAGGCCCAAGGCCACCTCGCTAGTAGCCGGTAGAACTGGAACGTGAACCCAGACTCCGAAGGCCACCATCCCTCAGCCATCGCTGCCCCTCAGAGGGGGCGGGGTCTTCGGAGGCCCTGTACCCCACATTCTCAGTTGCAGAGGAAGAAACAGGTGTGGGGGGGGGGCGGCTCAGACTACGCAGCAAGTCTGTGCAGAATGCAGATCAGAGCTCGGGCCTCTGATCCAGCCAGGGTCCTTTCCCTCAGTGAGAAGTAAGGGATCTCCTCGGAGAGGCAACTGAGAAACCATGGAATCTGGGAGCCATGTGGGCCCCGGGGCCAGGCGGCGCAGGGTTCAGGGTGCTGAGTGCCGACTCACGGCTTTCGAAGTGCCACAGTGAGGAGAGCATCGGGCCCCCGCTGAGAGAGCAGGGCCATGGCCTCGACCAACTCCTCTTCCAGCTCATGGACTCCTGCAGGCTCCAGCTCCAGCCCCCGGAAACGGTAGAACTGGGTATCTCGGTCCTGGAAGGTCCAGTCGTGTTTGACTGGGAAGAGGCCCGGGCGTGCAGGAGGAGAGGAAATTGAGGCTGTGTGGATAGGGGCTACAATGCCCACCCTCCTTCCCGCGGACACCTGGGCGCAGGCTCACCATGGCAGAGGGCACCTTCATCGAGCAGGACCTGGCAGATTCCTACAGCCTGGCTCCGTGAATGGACCCCAAGCCCCAGGGCCAAGATCCCATCCACCAGCTCCCGACCTGAGCAGCATTGCCTACAAGAGTTGAAGGGGACAGGGGAAAAGGAAGGCGAGTCAAACGTCAGGAAGGGAGAGGGAGGAACTCTCCATCCGAAAGTCATCTTCCTAGGCTTAGCCCCAGTGCTGCTGGAAGCAGTGCCAGGCCCAGGTGCCTGGAACAGAACGAAGGCAGGAGAAGAGAGAGCAGATGGGCGAGGGGGCGCACAGGCTTCCGCTCACCGATAGAGTCTAAGGTGGTACTTTCGGTCTCGGATGAGGTTGGGGCAGGCGGCCAGGAGATGCCGATGCAGCTGCTTCCCAGCCCTGAGCACCCGCTCTGTGGACGCCTGGGGTGGGGGCAGAACATCTGGCTCAGGCCCCGATGCCCAGGCCACGCCGCCCCCTCCCAGCTCCACCGCCGGGCCTGTACCTGCTCCAGGCTCACGCTGAAATCCAGGGACTCCTCGCTGTTGGTGAGTGGCGTCTGAGGGCGAGGGGAAGAGACCACACGTCAGCGCCAGGCCTTCGGATCCAGCGCCTGGACCCCACCACACCCCCATCTCCCCACCCCCTGGCCCAGTCTCTAACTCCAAACGCATCCATTTAGCTACTAATTCAAGAAATACAGTTTCCCCCCTGTCTGTGGTTTTGCTTTCCGAAGTTTCAGTCACCCATCCTCAACTGTGGTCTAAATGGAAAATTCCAGAAATAAACAATTCAAAAGTTTTAAATCGGGCACCATTCTAAGTAGTATGATAAAATCTCCCTGGGATGTGAATCACCCCTTTGTCCAGCAAGTCCGCACTGTATCACGCTCCCCACCGGTTCGTCACTCGGCGTCCCTCTGGGTCATCAGACCCACTGTTGTGGAGTCCCAGAGCTTGTGTTCCAGCAGCCCTGATTCTCCCCAATAACGCCCCGAGTCACCAGCGATGATGCCAGAGGTTCGGGTGTGCCGAAGGCTAGCAGCCCAGTACTTCCTTAGTGAACAGGTGTGTGTGTGCAGGGGGACCACGGTATAGGTAGGATTCAGTCCTACCCCTGGCTGCAGGCATGGTGGGGGTCTTGGGACATAACCCCTGAGATTAGAGGGGACAACTGTAAACAAATACTCACTGAGCACCCCACGTGCCCGGCATCACCTCTTCCCCACACTGCTACCGCGTCCCCAGACACCTCAGCACTTCACCCCCACAGATGAGCAGCCCGAGATCCCGGTTCTGCTTACTCAGGGCCCAGGTGCGCCCAGGCTCCCAGGTGTACCGCACCTAGGGGAGCACGGGGGCCTGAGAGGCCCAGCAGTGAGTGGCTCAGGAGGCCTTGGGACACTTGCTCCTGGGCTAGGGCCCCAAGGCCCGATCGTGGAGTCGGGGTCTACGCCCGACCACGGGACGCTGGGCAGACCTCCCGCCTTGTGCAGCCTCGATGCAGCCTGTGAGTTAACACAAACGTGGGAGCCACGCTCCTGGGTCCAAAGCCCTCCTCCTCCACGTCCCAGCAGTGGGACTCTGAATACGATTTCACCTCTCCCTGCCTCAGTCTCCTTGTCTATAAGATCTATAAAACCCTCCTAATACCCACTTAGGCTTTCGGAAGGATTATGTGAGTTAATAATATACAGTGAATGTTCAAAGCACTGCCTGGCATATGGTTGTATGTACGTGTCAGCTATTATTAGTCATCTGCGAGTAGTCACAGGGCGGCCGCTCGCTCGAAAGCCCTTTTCCTCTCTGAGATGCTCCTGCTAGTCCATAACCCTGGAAGAGGGAGGAGGGCCCGGAAGTGCACGGGATTGGCCCCAGGAGGCCAGGTTCGTGCAGAAACATTGGTTAATGAGGTCTCCTGCCGCCTTTTGTATTAATCATGCCACCCAGCCTGTGTGTCCTGGGATGGCGGCTGAGAAAACCTCTCCCACCCCTGAAATGTGCAGACATCTCTGGACAGGATACCCTAACCCTGTAAGAGCTCTCCCCAAGACAGAGTGCTTTACAAAGCATAGCAGCTCTGTGAGCTCCTCTGATCCTGTACTACACGGGGTCAGGTGTGAGCAAGGTGGGGCAGGTCATACTCATCTTCTTTGATTTATGAGGAAACAAAGCTCATGAGGTGAGTACTAGGTAACTCAGTCATACGTACTTGAGATAGCCAGACAGCCGTGGATCAGCTCCAGTTCCTGCCAGGGCTCACATTCTTGGTCTCGCTCCACCCACCACACCTGCCGCTTCCTCTTCCTTCCCCCTTCTCCTCACCAGTGTTCTCCTGCTTTCTCATCTGCACTCAGAGCCCTGAAAGTGACCTGGCTGGGGAGCTGGGTACAACCAGGCCTGGGCCTGAACCCCCTTCCCTGGTTCTGGCATCTTCCACCATGTGCCAGGCAGACGCCTGAGGTCTGGCGTGTGGAGGCGCCTGACCCAGCATTGGACAGAAGTCCCTAGGTGTCCCAGGGGTATCCCTGCCTGGGTCATGGGGCCCAGCCTGGTGCCAGACACAGAGCCCTGGAGACTTAGCAACAGGAAATAAGGAGGAGGAGGAGGAGCCAGGGAAGGAGGAAGGGCAGGCATGCTTCCCAGCCAGCCCCCAGAGCTGGAACAAACAGTGCTGAGTGCTAATGACTTCTTGTTGTTCGTGTCAAAATGCCCAGGTGGCTCCAGTCCCTGCCCCAACTCCCTCCGGTGCCCACAACCAGGACTCCAGCACACGTTCCCTTCCTGGTATTATTCTGACCCCAAGGGCACATCAGGAGGGGAGGTGCCAGGTCATGTGGCCAGGCTGGTCACCACCCAGATCCCAGATCCACAGGCCTTGCTTTAAGTCATTTCCGGCCCTGCCCCAGGAGATGGGCGTGAGGTTCAGAGGCTGGGGACTCTGGCCCACACAGCTGAGGAGGGGACCTGAAGGCAGCCCTTTCATTTTGCCAAGGAAAGCAGGTACTCAGAGATGAAGTAACTTGCACACTGCTTAGAAAGATCCTTCGAAAAACTGCTACCGAGGCTGACCCTGAAAGGAGGTGTTTGTCTCCCTTCACACTGGAGAGGAGGCTCAGAGGTTACATAACCAGGCCCGAGAGTAGGTACCGGTGAGCACCAGGATTCACACGGTGCCCGCCTGCTCCCGAAGCCCATGCTCTTAGCCACTCCGCCCTGCTGCCTCCGTGGCAGCTACCCCATGCTCCCCGCGCTGTGCATGGAAGTTGAGATAGTAGAGGTATTCTGCCCTCAGGAATGTTCCTTGGGCAAGCAAGCTTGGAGAACCCCGGGCAAAACCAAGTTCAATGGGTTTGTTGTCACAGTCCCTCTGGGCCCCTACGTACCATGTTGGGGCGGGGGTACTATTCAGGGGCAGTGGTCAGTGTGTGGACTCTGGGTGTAAATCCTGCTTCTCCCATTGCCAGCTGATTGTGTGACCTTGGGCTGCTCATTAACCTCTCTGTGCTCCAGTTTCCTCAGCTGTACGGTGGGGTGGGCAACGAAAGTGCCTATTCTGTAGAGTTTGCATGAGGGTCCGATGAGGTCATACAAGAAAGCACTCAGAGCAGTGCCTGGCTTTCAGTAACTGCTCAGTAAATGTTAAGTAACTTGATTAATTTTTATTTCATGGTGGGCACCTATTACCTGGACACTGCAAGACATGGACTTTGCCTGACCCTGTCCTTGACCCGATGACCCTGAACATCAGCTTAGGGATTCTCTGTAGCAAAGAAGTAGCAGGTATGAGCCAGGGTGAAGGTCCTTGCCCACCACCCCCTCTCATGGCTTCACAGGAACAACTCGGGGTGGAAGAGTTGTAGCTAGCTCCCATGGCAACAGCGCCATGGGCCGGCCCACCTGCCATCCCTGTGACTGACCATCAGACCCCACTGGCAGGGCAGGTACAGACACACAGTCACGTGGGGCCCTGTCTGTCAGTTCCATTAGGCCATGGCTAGGCCCTCGGGCCAGACCTATGCATGGGGGAACAGGGAAAGGATGCATGCAGTGGGGTGATGCTTTGGGGTATCAGTGTTACTGTCTGCAGCAAGAAAAACTGTACCGTGAGCTTGGACCCTGCAGCCAGGTTACCCGGGACTGAAGTCCAGCTTTGTCTCTTAGCAGCGGTGCAGCTCTTGACCTGTCACTTACCCTCTCTGTGCCCCTGTCTCCTCATCTCTAAAATGAGGCGATGACATGAGCATCTGTCTCACAGGGCTCTCATGAGGGTATCTGATACAGTAAAGGCCTTATGTGTCCTAGGTACCTGCATAAGAGTGCCTGGGACATAAGTCCTCGATAACTAGCAGCTGCTCTCATTATTTGGACAGGTTGGATGAGTTGGAGCACAGTGACACCACCCCAAAACAATCACTCAAAGGGAAGCATCCCCAGGTGTCTCTGAGCTCACAGGACCCACCAGAGGTCATCCAGATCTGGCCCCTGCCTCTGGACTGAACGATCCCTCCCCCGCTGGTTCCCAGACACCAATCTCCTCGCCCCTTCATGTTTTCCAAAGGAGAGGCTCTTCCATTCCATTCCAGTGTCACCTTTGTCAGTTGGCAAGTCCTCTCTGTATCTAACCTCAGGCCTTCCTGCTGTAACCTTCTTTTATTTTCTCTCATCCTGGCCCAGCAGGAACAGAAAGTGCTCTCTTTAGGCCTCAGGAAGTTGATGGGCTCCCCCTTGGGTTTTGGTTTTGTTTCTAAATTTTTTTTTAAGATTTCATTTATTTATTTTTAGGGAAAGGGGAAGGGAGGGAGAGAGAAACATCAATGTGTGGTTGCCTCTTGAGAGCCCCCTACTGGGGACCTGGCCCACAACCCACACGTGTGCCCCGAGTAGGAATTGAACCAGCCACCCTTCGGTTCACAGGCCGGCACTCAATCCACGGAGCCACACCAGCCAGGGCACCCCTTTTGGTTTTCTATCAGGTTCTCTATGAGATGGAAATGGGCTACATAACTCCCAGCACTGTCCTCCTGGGACCATGGGCTCTACCACCTCACAATGTCCACCCTTTACCCTGTGTGTGCACACTCCCTGCCTGGCACCGTTCCTCATGTGAGCTCTCCATGGGTCACAGGCGTCATCTAGAGATGAGAGGTACAGCTTTACAGGTGCCCAGAGTCTCCAACGCAGACACAGTGGGCTGAAAAAACCCCACCTCCATCCCCCACAGCGGGTCATCAAGAGAGGGTCGGGCCCCTGTTCCAACCCGAAAAATCTAAGTTTCCTCTGATCACCAATTCCCACCTGCCCCCTACCTGGCAGGGGAGAGGCCTTGTTTCTGTGCCTTTGACCCCGTTTACACTCCAGCAACCCTCACCGCCACCCTTCCTGCCTCCCCGAGCACACCAGGGGTTGGAGGCGTCAGGAGACAGGCTGGCGGCCTCCTCTACCCGCTCCCAGACTTTGGGTCCCAGGGGATCCTCCAGTGACCTCATTGTCCTAGCACCTGACCTTTCCTCCACTCCCCACCTTGCCTCCGCAAGCTGGGAAGGGGACAGGAAACACACAAGTAATTATAGCCTCAGGGGGAAGAAGGGAGGGAGTGTTCCAGCCCATTGGCTCCCAGCAGCAGCTACTGCCAGTGACCTGGAAGTGGGGGAGCTAGGCCCAGAAGTCACCAGCTCCCTTGTCCCCTCCAGAGCCCCATCATGAGCACCCAGGACCCTTATCTGGAAGACACTGGGAGGGAGAGCCTGGGGGACTGTCTCCTAGAGTCCCCTCCCAATTTTGATGACAAGATGGCCCCTCATATTGGTGGGCCTCCGTTTTCTCTATTCAGCCTCAGGGTTTGGTAACTGTAAATGGAGAGAGGCAGGAGGAAGGAGGCAGGAGGTGGTGGTCATTCTACTCAGTGGGACTTGCCCCTAAGAGATAAGCTCCCCGGAGTCTGTCCCCTGTTCCCACTTTCCCTTCGCTTTTCCACCCCATTATCCCGGTGCCCTCCCAGTTCGCCTACACACGGGTGGGCACACACACTGCACCTCAGGCGAAGGCACGCTGTTAAGTCTGGGTGTTCGAGGAGAGCTTCTCTGCTGATTTGAATCCTGCGACCATCACCCGGCACCCCACCCCACCATTACCCCCTTCCTGTTCTCTCCTTCAGCTTTGCAGCTCCGAGCTGTTCTTCCCTGGCAAGGGCGGCTCCAGTCATCTCAGATCCTCTAAACTTCTCAGAATCCTTCCCTGCCCCGCCCCAAAGCCAGATGCCAAGCGGTGTTCACATGACCACCTCACCCCAAAATCGAAAGGCAGAACTGGTGCAGTTCAGTCTCTCACTAAAAGAGAATGTTGCCACGGTGATGTGTGGAGAACGGTAACCAAGCCTGCCTCGCCCCTGCCTTGACCTGCTCCCCAGTATTTCACACGTGTCTTTCACCCCCACCTAGAGAGCACACAAGCACTGACCCAAGGCACAGAAAGGTGATGGGTAAATGACAAACCCCGTGCTTCCTACCCCCATGTTAAACGGGGGCTCTGGGACGCCACACACACAGACACACTTGAGGCAGCTGTGTGGGCCACCCACGCACGCTGCCGCTAAGCTGCCTGACCCACTGTCCATCCCGTGGTTCGCCCTACACCCCCAGAGCAAGCTGGGCCGCCTCCAGCATGCCGGTGGTCCCAATCCGCGCCGACCTCCCCCGCAACCCCACCTCACCAGCCCTGGTCCCTGCCTGGGTGGGCAACGGGCACTCACCCAGCGAAGCCCCTGGATGCGGCTGGGGCGCTGGTGCTCGAGAAGCAACTGGTAGGAGCAGCTTCGGGGCCGGTGCATCCTCCTTAGCACCATGTTGAGCAGCGTCCCCTCCGGCACCACGTCCGGAAGGCCTCCCACCTGTGGTGCCCCCAGAGCGGGGCTGCCCTCCACAGTCAGGCCCACGTGCCAGCGGCTCTCACCTGGCCAGCCAACCTGTGAGGAGGGGAGGAAGGGGGCCAGCCATGGGGCCGAGGCAGCTGGACCAGGGCACAACTCCCCCAGGCAGCACCACTTCCTTAGAATCCTCTGCACTGAGCAGGCGGAGGTGCTGCAACCCTGCCAGGAGCTGGGGGAGGGACAGGAAGACCTTCGCCGGGGCCTGCCGGTCTGGCGCACTTAGGGGTCTCCCGCTGGCTGGCCGGAGATCGGCCGTCCTTCCCGGTCTCCTTTGAACTTCTGCCCCACCCTGCCGCCCTAGTCGCTGCAGGGATATCCACCACCTCCCGGTTTGAGGCTATAGACTCACTGGATCCCCCAGAATTGCAGCTTCAGCTCAAACCCTTCTCCCCTCCTCCCTCACCCCTGACCAATCCTCAACCCTCTCTCTCCACCCCGAAATCCCCAGTCGGGTCTGCTTCCTCTCCTCCTCGCCCCAGGCCCCACCTTACCCACCTTCATGTTCCTTCTCAAGCCCGCCCAGCCGTGCAGGCTCCGGCAAAAGGCTGAAGGGACCCCCCGGGAGTCCTGGCCAGCTCGGAGAGGAGGATCTTGGTGGGGGAGCGGGCTCTAAGTCCCAGGCGCAGTGATCAGGGCCAATTTCTAACTCGACCGCCTGCCAGGGCAGCCAGAGGCAAGGCTGGGAGGAGAGACTCCTCTTGGGTGGGTAGAGGGCTGAGGGGTTGGGGGGGAATCCCCCCTGTCAGCGACAGGAGCCCCGAACCTCCGCCTCCGTCCCGGACGAAAGAGCCAGCTGGCACAGGGCACTGAAGCGAGGCTGCAGCTGGCACTGGTCCGGGCGGGAGCTGTCACACCCCCTGCACTGCCCGCCCCCTTCCCCTCCCGGACCGACCCAGGGGGCGGGGAGGAGGCTCCCGGGCTCACAGTCCGGGAGGGTGTAGGATGGGGTGGCCCGGGCCGGAGGGGAGACCGGGCCCGGGGGTATGCAGAGCGGGCAGGAGCCACGGCCCCGAGAAACCCCAGTGGGGAGGAGCGGCCTGGGGGGTGGACTGAGGCCGCGGGGTGTGTGCCGAGGCCGCTGGGCCCAGGTGACCGGGTGGGGGCGGTGAGTGGCGGCACCGGCCGCCACGTGGCCTGGAAGAGAAATGCAAACAAGGAAACTCCGGGGAAGGAGGAGGGGGTGAGTCATTGTGGCCCCACCCGGGAGGGAAATCCGGGCTGGGGCCGCTTCCCGCGCTTCCCGGCCCGGCGTCCTACCTCCCGTTTGGGCTCAGGGTCTGGAACAGCCCGGGAGAGGGACTGGGCTGCTTTCCGGTGGGGGGGGCCCGCCGCCCAGCCGCCCACCGCTGCGCTCCCACCATCGCACCGCACGCCCCCACCGCCCGCCCTGCGAGCACACTCGGGGCGGACGCGGTCGAGAAAGTTGAGGCTGGAGAAGAAGGAATGAGCCTGGGGATGGATGACGCTGAGGCCGAGCTTCAAGAAACCAGGGGGTTTTCGAGGGCTGCGCCCCCACCCCACCCGCACCGCGCTGCCTGGCTGCAGTGCGGGTGGAGGCCCAGACGGCAGCCTGGGGCAGGCTCTGTACCAGGAGCGTCCCCTCCTTGGGCCTCAGTTTCCACCCTCGTCCTCTTTGCCTCGCTCCTGCTTCTGACAGGGTGGAGAGTCGGAGGCCCGCGACAGCGACTCGACTCCCGCAGCGCCGGGTAATTGCTCAGCGAGTTAATGAGGGTTTTAGAAAGAGGCGCACGCCCCTCCCCGGGCTTTCGAGGACTCGCTCCCTTGGGCCTCACCGAGTCGTTTTCCCTTCGCTGCTGCGTCTGCCCGGCCTGGGGGAAAGCGCGCCTCTGGCGACCCTTCCCCTCCCTCCGGGACGCCGAGCCCCTGTCTCCCACCGATGAGTGTTTTCTTGGAGCTGGGGTGAAGCTGCTGGTTTTGTGATTTAAATCTCAGTTTTACTGTGTATTAGAAAATCTTCCCAGGAGCTTGTCAAAACGCAAGCTTCATCCTCCAAATTCAGATTCAGTCCTACTGGTATGAAATGGAAAAATCTGTATTTTGAATAAACACCCCCAGGTTCTCTGCTGAGTCCACACTTCGAGAAACCATGAGGGAGTTTTAAATGCCTCTCCAAAGAAAGAGGGGGACCTGTGGATGAATCTGGCCCCAAGCCCAAAACCACCTATCCAAGTTCTGGGAATCTGGAAGAAGGAAGAAGAGCTTGGCTATTGGCAGGAAGGAATAACAGGCCGGGGTCACAGGGGTGCTTGGAGAAGAGGGTTCAGGGGAGTTAGGAGTGGAGGTGGGGAGTGAGTTGAAGTTTCAGGTTGCCCTGGCCAGTGACCTGGTCTAGAAGCTCTTGCAGGGGAGCTTCCAGAGAGACATCAGCAGAGTCCGTGTGCCATTCACGCTGCCCCTACTTTGGGTGGGTGGAAAAGGAGCTGGGGAGTAGTGACGCAGGGCATCTGCTCCATAGACCTCTGGGCAGGCCGCAGTGGCCTGTAAGTGCCAGTCATGGTTCCAAGTGCTTCACCTGTATGTAATCTCTGCCACCACCCTATGAAGCAGTACTGCTGTTATTCCCACTTTGCAGCTGGGGAAACTGAGGCTCGGAGGTATTAAGTAGCTTGCCGAGGCCACACAGCTGGTATACAATGACACCGAGGCTTACACTCAAGTTGCCTGGCTTCATTTAACCCCCATGCTGTGCTGTACTATGTATACATCACATTCGTTCTGGTCTGCACTGTGTGTCTGACAGAGAAACTGAGGAAAGGGACACGGCGAGGTGGTGCGGGGCTTGAAGACAGTCATTCAAATCGGGGAAATGAAAGTGTCCTAAACCCACTTTTCCCCTGTCTGTTCTCAACACCACCATTGTTTTGCCTTGTTTTTCCGGGTCTGTTTCTCGTTCCCCACCCCCGCCTCCGGAAGACTGAGAAGGCGGCCTGTTCACTGGGAGCCAAGGGGGATCCTCGGCGTTGGACCTTCCTTTTGCCCCGTTCCTATAACTGGCAGACAGAGCCCTCTGTCACCTGCCAAGGCCGATGACGGGGCACGTTTTTATGGCTCAGGATTCCCAGGAGGGGACCGGCCTGTGGAATGAGTGCTCAGCAGACAGCTGATAGAGGCTGTGGCCTGCAGGGGCAGGGGACTAGGTTAGTGTGTCTGAGGAGGACATCCCAAGACAGACGGTGAGTCATCTTGGGGACAGTCGTGCTGTCCGGTAGCCTCCACCCAGCTCTGACTGTCGTGAGATGCCCAGCAGGTGCGTCAGACAGATAAATAATAATAACAGCTAACATGTACCAGGCCCTGTCCTTGATACTTTACATAGGTACATCCCCTGATTTAATCATTCCTCAGAATCATAACAATTCTGAGACAGGTGTTATTATTACCTCACTTTACAGATGAGGAAGCTGAGACATGAAAAGGTCAAACGATGTTCCCAAGGTCTCACAACTGGGAAGGTGTGGAGCAATAAGTGATTCTACCCAAGCAGTTAGAGTCTTTGTGCTTTACCCCTCTGCAGTCTTGCCTCTCAAACGTACCAGCAGATCCCACCAAGGCAGGGGAAGCCCACGTCCAGAACCACTTCCCCCGTGCCTGGGTGCACACAGGCTGCAGAGCCAGAACGGGGAGGAACAGGCAGATGACGGCGGCCGGAGAGCAGGGCGCCCCGACGCAGCCTACCCATACAAGCGTTCCGCCCCATTCCCTTCAGGCAGGTGGCAGGGCACTCCAGAGGCTCCCAAAGAAAAGCCAAGGAGGGTGGTTGGGTAAGGAGGGCTCTTCAGCCCCTGGCTTTGATTCTGGTCTGTATTCCTTCCACCCAGCCCTCTTTGCTGAGCTCTACCCTTGCAAAGCCCACAGCTTCCTGGGTCTTCACAGGTCCCTCTCACTAGGCAGGTCTGAAACTCCCGTCCAACCCACCTGCCCCTCCTCCTGCCCTGCCCCTCTCAGCTCCCTACTCTAGGGACCTCACCACCACATAGGCAAGGGACCTCATTCCCTCCTTCTCCCGCATCCAATCAGCCGCCACTCTGGTCGATGCAGCTAATGAGTAATCTGTTGCAGCCATGCATTATGCCCCAACCCCACTGCACCTGCTCCAGCCCAGTGACGGTCCCTTCCAGCCCTTACCAAGTGCAGGGCACTGTGTTTGCCATTTCATAGACATCATCTTCTAGTCCTCAGAACAACCCTATCTGCAAATGAAGATACTGAGGCTCAGAGAGGTGGCGTAACTTGCCCAAGGTCACACATTGCACCAGGCAGAGCCAGACTCAGGCAGTCCGACCACAGAGCCCGCACTCTTCACCACCACCTTGCACTGCCTCCCTGGTCACCGCACTCAGACTCGCCCTCCTCACCCTTCCTAGGTAATGCCACAGAACCTTCAATTCAGTCCACAACATTTGCTGCAAGTGAAGGTACGGCCAGCAACGCTGCTGTGCACTAAAGATCTAACTGAGCAGACACTGGGCTTCCCCACCACAGAGTCTAGTGGACTTTTCTTTTGTCTCCCTAACATACAAACCTGGTTGGGGCTCCCTACCCAGCACAGCGTCTGGTGTAAAGTAGGTGCTTAGTGATTATGGGTGGAAATGACATGAATGGGAACTGTGGGAAGTCAGCTGGTGCCCACTGAGGGCCTACACCCAGGCAGGGTGGGAAGGATGGGGGTGGTTTTAAGTTTTGTTTTTAAATATTTTATTTATGTATTTTTAGAGAGAAGGGAAGGGAGGGAGAAAGAGGGAGAGAAACATCAAGGTGTGGTTGCCTCCCATGTGTCCCATGCTGGAAACCTTGCCTGCAACCCAGGCAAGTGCCCTGACTGGGAATTGAACTGGCAACCCCTCGGTTCACAGGCCCGCACTCAACCCACTGAGCTACACCAGCCAGGGCTGCTTTTCGGTTTTCTCACGGCATTTTATTCCATCTCCCTCCCTCCTTGCTGCTTCTTTGTCTCCACTCTTTTCTCCCTTTGTCCTCTGCTGCAAACTTTGCTCACAGACATGGCTACATCATTTGAGGTTGATTGGTGGAATGGACAGTGGGAGGTTGGAGGAAGTTTTAACTAACAGGCCTCCAGTGGGCCAGGCTTCCTGCAGAAAGGGCCAGCTTGGTTACTGGAGGGTGTAAGGTCTCTGCCTGGTACCCAGGCCACTGAAGCCTCCTTCAGCTCCCCTGGGACCCTACATTGCACCTTGACCGTGGCTGGTCTACATGAAGAGGGACTGAGAAGAGAAGGCAGGTACCATCCCTGGGGCTCTAGCTTTTGTCTCTGGAAGTCTCAAAGTTTTATGATGCTTGCCCAGGCTCCTTTCTCCAAGAATGGTTCCAGTTCAGTTCTCCCACCTCCTCCCAGGCCATTCCTGGGGTGGGGGCAGAGACCGGGGGCTGGAATGCTGATGGGCACTGAGCCAAACCTCCCTAGGACTAGCAGGTCACAGCCAGTTACCCAGGAGCCACTTGTGACAAGCGGTGGAGCAGGGAAGCAGAGGAGAGGCAGGTTCCTGCCTTCTCTGGGTGAGGTAGGTGAGCAAGCTAGAAAGAGGTTCATGAGGGCTAGACAGGGCCGGGGCCAGTGGGGAGGTGACCAAGGCAAGAGCAGGGACCCCACACTTTCTTGGAGGCACATTCTTCTGGCTGGTGCTCAGGCTACCCAGGTGCAAGAGCGGCAAGGAAACATCACTGAGCAGGTCTTCGGAGGTGACGGCTGGCCAAAGGGAAGGAGAGGCAGGCAGAGCCACAGAGAAGGAGGGAACAGGTCTGGAGCTATGCTGATGGAAGGGGAACAGGCCTGCCTACCAGGGAAATCTGGTGTTATACAAGCGAACGTGCATAAACTAATAGCTGAAATTTCCCACCAGCTGCTGCTTTTCCAGGTGCACACGTGTGTGTGTTCCAAATACCCAGGAGACACTGCTTCTGACCTTGACTGATCCATCTTCTAAAATGGTGGCTCCAGCCCTGGCTGGTGTAGCTCAGTGGATTGAGCGCGGGCCTGCGAACCAGATAATCGAGGTTCGATTCCCAGTCAGGGCACATGCCTGGGTTGCAGACCAGTTCCCTGCAGGCCAGTTCCCAGCAGGGGACGCACGAAAGGCAACCATACATTGATGTTTCTCTCCCTCTCTCCTTCCCTTCCCCTCTAAAGATAAATAAATAAAAATTTAAAAAATAAAAAATAAAAATAAAATGGTGGCTCCAGTCTGGCTGTAGCCACTTCTCAGGCTCCAAGTGTCCTTTCCTCTCACTTCTACACCCATGTCCCAGCTCCTGGTCTGCACTAGCCTTTCCCCAACACTACTCCCCAGCCACCACCCACACTACCTCCTCCCCTTCTCTCTTCCCCTTCCAGCCTTTCCAAACCTGAGTCTCAAACACTCCCATCTTCCAGCCTATCCTGGGCAGTCTTTGCTCAGGACTCAAAGCGTCCACACTCTGACCACATGCTTCAGAGACTTGGCAGGCAGCTACCGGGGCCAGAGAGGGGTCCTAGTAGAGCCCCAGGCCCCGTTCACAGATGCCCAGTTCTTTCTGGATCCAGAGCGCTGCTGAAGAAGGGACACGAACGTGGGTAATCAGGACAGCAGCCCAGGGGAGAGGCCGCTTCCCAGCATCAGGGCAGACCCTCATCCTGCCCCTACAGCTCGGTCAGGAACTGCTGGGGCCACAGAGGAAGCCAAACATTCAAAGACTTCCGGGCACCAGACCCACTGCCCATTTCCTCCCTCCAGGGAGGACACAGTGAAAGCCCAGGGAAAGCTGCAAAGATGGGCAAGTGGAGAGAAATGGGGTGCAGACAGGGAAATGGAAAAGAGAGGAAAGTCTGCAGTTGTGAGATGTTAGTTTTTCCCTCCCTGAGGAGAGGCAGCCCCTGCTGCTCAGACGTCAGATGTCCCAACCCGAGTGTCTGGGAAGTCCTTCCTGCTCTTGGCTGCCCTCCTGGCAGAGGCCTTGAAAGGCCTGAATGCCCTTTTAATCTCCCCTGAGGCTTCAGTTCTCCCCAGGGGCCTGCTGGCCGAAGGCTCCTCAGGCCTTAGCTGAAGGTCCTTGCTGGGGCCTGGGGAGCCAGCCAAAGCAGTGGAGATCTCGGCCCGGTTCTTCTTCCCTGAGAGAGCCACAGCTCATGCCAGGGTTCCCCCTATTTCCCTGCCAAACGCCTGGCACTCACCACCACTGAAATCAAATCATTGTCCAATTATTATTAGTGATCCCTCCTCCAAAAGAGCGTAATTTCCCAGGGGGAAGGAACTAGCACTGCTTGGCTCCAGGCTCACAAGTTGCATAGTAGGCGCCTAGGACACGGAAGGCCTTTGAGAAAAGTTTCTTGAGTCACATAGGCAAACCAACCTCCCCTCTTCTACCCCAGTCCTTTTCACCTCCCTCATGCCCCTACCCGCGTCTGTCTTTCTTCCTGGTACCTTCCCACACAGTTCTTGACCAATCTCCACGCCTCACTGCCTCCGTCCATCCTCCTCTTCCTCCTGGAAGCGCCTCAGATGCGGCCACTTGGCCTCTACAGGGTGTTACTGCTGGGTCCCATGCCCTGGACCGGGCATAGGTGACAGCCTGAACTCTAGTCCCTTTACTTCCCCCAGAGCTCTTGCAGCGGGACCAGAGGAGGACCCGTGTCCATTGGTTAAGCTCTGTGGTTAACTTTCTAGTGCAATAAATCACACCCAAAATTCAGATGTAAATGACAAATATGCACTAATCCCCATGCCAGGCTTTGCCCTTTAGGAAGGGTTAGTGCCCTCCCCTCCCGCCCTGAGGTTCAGTGTTCTCTCTCCCACCCCACTGCACCAGGCGCAAGGCCATGTAGAGCTTAACTGCAGACTTTTCCTCTCCCCTTCTCTCTCTCCCCCCACCCCTCACCCAACAACGACCTCACGGTGAAAGGGAAAAGAGAGTTGGAGCAGGTACCTTGCCCGAGGCACTGAGGTCAGGACATGCAGGTCACCAGAGAACCCTAGGAGAGGCAGGCAGGCCTGGGCCTCTCCGTGCTGTGGTGACAAAGGCGTTTCCCCTGCCCCCCACGTGCTGCTTCTCACTCTGCCTCAGGTACTCGTGAAGCTGCGGAGCACGGAGACCCGTTGCTTCCACTCAGCATCTTCTCACTCAGCCTCTTCTCACTCGGCATCCTGCCCTCAGTGTGGACTTCCTGGCTGTCAGCGAGGAGGCAGAGGAAGTGGGTCTCGGTGAGAAGCCAGACGCTGAGCAGTTTCACTCTGGCCCTGAAAAGTGAAGATATCCCCTTTTAGGGTCAGAAGGCAGCCACGGCCCTGGGGGACAGCACTGGGGAGCCAAGGCAACCCTGTGGATCTGAGCCCTGGATTCAGGATGCCTTCCTGCAGCCTGGGCGGCTGGGATGCTCGTGATGGGGCCAGATCCTCCCTACAGGGAGCCACCTGCTCCTCCTCTCTAAAACAGTTATTTCTGATCTGTGGTCTGTAAGCCTGACCTCAGGAGGATGAAGCTGTCAGAGGGGGGCCGAGGTGGGGACAGGGGATGCACCTCTGTGTCAGGCACAGCCTCAGGCTGCCTTAACCAGAGCTCGAGACTTGAACTCCACAGGGCTGGGAATGGGGAAAGGGATCTTGTAAGTTCTGGGGAGAATCCTGTGGAACTCACCACCTGAATTGATGCACAGATTTTAGCTCAACTTTGCAAAGCACCATCTCAATTCACAGGTTGGGGAAGGCTGCCCCCTAGAGCCAGGATCAAATAATTTTTTTTAAGATTTTATTTTTATTTATATTTAGAGAGGGGAAGGGAAGGAGAGAAATATCAATGTGTGGTTGCCTCTTGCGTGCCCCCAAGTGGGGACTTGGCCTGCAACCCAGGTATGTGCCCTGACTGGGAATCAAACCAGCAATACTTTGGTTCGCAGCTTGTGCTCAATCCACTGAGCTACACCAGCCAGGGCTCAGTATCAAATAATTCTTTATGGACAGCCAGCCCTCTTGATTCATTGCACAGATATTTATTGAGGTCACCCTATGCACCTGGCATTAGACTAGATACTGGGAATGCAGAAGTGATCAAAGCATGACACTGGGTGACTAACCGTCCTGCTTTGCCCTAGACTGATGTGTTTTCTAGGACCTGGGACTTCTAGTGGTAAAACCAGGACAGCCATGGAAGTTGGTCCCTAGCAGATAAAGCCCCTGCCCTCATGGAAGTTACCTTTTGATGGGGTGGCAGGGGCGTGGGTGGAAAGGATAAACAAATGCATAAGACCATTTCACATAGTATGAGTGCTATGGGAAATAAATCAGGTGAGGGATGATACTTTAAATTAAAACAGGGTTGCCTCTCTGAGGTAACATCTGAGCTGAGACCAGAGTGGCGAGTGGTTGATCTAAGGAGCACTCAGAGGAGAGCTTCCCAGGCGCAAAGTACAAAGACTCTGAGGCAGGAACAGGGCACATGTGAGAGGCCAAAAGGCCAGTGTGCCAGAAGTGAAATGAGCAGGGCTGGGACCAGCTGGAGTCGGCAAAGCCCTGATCAGTTTGCCCTAATTGCTGTGGGAAGCTATTGGAGGGATTGCAGCGGGGGAGTACCATGTTCTGGTTGTTATTTTTAAAGACCACACCAGCTGCTGGGTGGAGAATGGATTGGAGGGGAAAGAACGAGCAGAGGAAGGCCAGTGAGGAGACTGTGGCAGGGGGCAATAGAGGTGACGGTGGTGGCTGGACTAGGGTGGTGGCAGGGGGATGGAAAGGACAGGCAGACCAACCTGTACTTGCTAACGAATTGGTTGTAGGGGGTGAAGCAAAGGGAGGACTCAGTGATGATGCCTAGGTTTGGAGCTGGAGCCAGAGAAAACAGACCTGTCCCAGATGACATCCTGCTGGGTGGGGATTAAGGAGCAGAGAGGAGGAAGCCCTGACAAATCTAATCAACTGGCGTATAGCTTAGTGGGGTGACCTTGCCGTAGCATTGTGGGAGGATAGGTGTGTGGAATGTGTCTGCTTGGGGGAATGAGGAAGAAATGTCTTAGGAGGCAAGGTCCCTGGAGGTGGGAGTTAGGAATCTGTCTTAATATTGGTGGGGTGCAATTTGAAAGTGACTTCAGAGGGATTGAAAGTTCAGACAGATTAGCTGTATAGGATGTGTTTACATGACCTGAAGTGGAATGAGGAGGACGTACTGGATAATAAGTTTAGCTACAACAAACAACCCTGAAATCACAGCAACGCAGCCCAACAAAGGTGCGTCTCTCACTCATGTTACCATCCAATGAGGGTCTGGGGGATGGAGGAGGTAGTTCTGCTTCATTCATTCAACATCATTTATCACCTCTGCCTTCACCACGTGGCCTCTGAAGTCCTCACAGAATAGGAAGAGGGAATGGAGGATATTCGGGAGGATTTGGTGGACCTGGGAGCCTGGTGATGGCGCACATTGCTTCTGTTTTGACTCCATTGCTCAGAACTTGATCCCATGACCTCGATCTAGCTACAGGGAATCTGGGAAGTGTTCAAAGTTCAGACTCGGAAGGTCATGTGCCAGAAGAAGAGCTACTAATGGTGGGCATTAGGAGTCTCTGCTGCAGGCAGGGGACGTGGCTGCCTGTCCTGGGGGGGGGGAGTGGTATCTAATTTGGGTTGGGATGGGAGTGTGCTTCTGAAAGTACCTTGGAAAAGAAGCTGATGTGGGAGAAAGTATACAGGGTGCACTCCCATGGGCTCGTACCTCCACAATCCTTCCATTCTTATCCATTCTCATGGCCTTCCTCCAGGAAAGGTCTCAGTGAACTCACACCTTACCACTGAAATGGCCTTGTGAATGCTTCCCTGCCACAGTTTTCTCTCCCATCAAATCTAACCTGGATACCACAGTCTAACTAATTTTCCCAAGACATGGCTTATGTTATGCTACTCCTTCTCAATAATAACAGTAGTAACAATTTCAGCAACAGCAATAGAAATTTGTTGAGCTACTGTGATGAGTGTTTTAACTGCAGAAACTCAATACACCTTAACCATTATAACAAGCCTGTGAGGTTATATTTGAGAATTGTCATCGTTCTCATTATATAGATGGAGCAACAGGGACTCTGAGTGGTTCCCACGCAAAATACAATAGCCACTGGCCATGTGTAGTTATTTTAATTAAAATTAAAAACGATTAGCCCTGGCTGGTATAGTTCAGTGAGTTGAGCACAAGCCTGCAAACGAAAGGGTTGCTGGTTTTGATTCCCAGTCAGGGCACATGCCTGGGTGGCAGGCCAGGTCCCCAGCAGGGGGCGTGTGAGAGACAACGACACATTGATGTTTCTCTCCCTCTGTTTCTCCTTCCTTTTCCTTCTCTCTAAAAATAAATAAATAAAATCTTAAAAACAATTAAAACTTTGGCTAACCACATATCAAATACTCAATAACCACATGTGACCACTACCATTTTGGAGAGCACAAATATAGACAAACTTTTTCTTGGTATAAAGTTCTATTGAATTAGGGGCTCAGGGTCACAGAATAAGTGGTAACCCTATCGGATTATGAAATCCTTCAACAGTTAAGAAAAAGTTCCCACAGTTAAGAAAAAGTTTCAGCGTCCTCTTAACCTTCTTGTACAACCTGGGCCCAAGCTACCGTTGCATAATTATTCCCTTGTTATTTTCTTGCACAATCTCATGCTCCAGCACCAGTTTGCTGCCTACTCTCCAACACTCCTAATATGTCCATTCATAATATTTTTGCTCTCCTCCTTTCCATCTGCCAAGCTAACTAATTCCTACCTGAACTTTAAGGCTCAAATAGCTTCATTATCTCCCGAATCAGCTCCCTCACCTCCAGTCTCACTGCCTCAGCCTGAAGCACCTTCCAGACTCCGCCCCCCTCATCATCTCCTGTCACGGCAGCTGTTCTGCAGCTACTAATCATACCTATGGACATTTACTGAGCACCTACTATGTGTTGGGCACTCTTCTAAGCATCATGTTTTCATCACACTTGAAGCAGATATCACTGCTGCCCCCACTTTGCAGGTGGGGTAACTAAAGCACAGGGAGGGGAAGGACTTGTCTCTCTGCTTTCTAGTCTTTCACTGCCACTTCACCCTCACACTATTACCCTGGCCACATTTCTAGAACATAGGACTGCTACTTCCTTCCCTCCCCTGGCTCCACAGGGAGGGGACAACCTTCTTAGCCGAGTACTCAAAGCCCTTTATGTTCAGAACATATCTAACTTCAAAACCCACTGCTCCACCCACAGACCACAAACTACTTACAAATTCCCAACCTGACACGTTATTTCTTGCCTCTGTACTGTCTGTGCACATGATGTTCCCACTGCTTGCAGTGGTATTTCAGTTGGCCAGCTCCGAAGCCGTCCACGGCAGTGTGCTCTGCACCTTTGGGCTTGCTCCTACCTCCGAATGTGCAGCACTAACTCTTTCCATCAGCAGCTCACAGAGAAGGGCTGGGTTCTGACTCACCACATTAAAATCATATGTGTGTGTGTATGTATATATATATGTATATAAGATTTTAATGTATATTAAATGTATATGTATATACACACACACATATATATACTGATTGAAAATATATATACTTCCAAGATTCAAATGTAATGGGCTAGGAGTGGAATCTGGGCTCTTTTCTTTTTAAGAAGCTCCCAGACCATTCTGAAATGAGGCAAATGGGGTTAATTTACACTGGTTTACTCATTCCTTTGGCAGTGCATTAATCATGCCCTGCCTAGACTTCATGCGCATGATTGTTATTTAATGCTTACCTTGATTCGCTCTCATTCATTTATCCAAAAAATGTTTATTAAATGACTATTATGTGCCCAGCACTCATCAGGGTGTTGGTGTGGATGAAAGTGGTACAGTCCCTGCTCATGAGTTTAATTCCAGAAGGGTGTAAATAGGCAGAATAATGCCCTCCCGCCCCAGATGTCCACGTCCTCACCCCAGAATTTGTGAATATATTACTTTACATGGCAAAAGAGATTTTGCTGACGTGATTAAGTTAAGAATTTTGACATGGGAAATTATTTTGGATTATTCAGATTCTTAATCACCAGGGTCCTTATAAGGGACAAGAGGGAGGGAGCAGAGTCAGTGAGGAGGTAGAGATGTGACACCAGAAGCAGCCGTCCAAGCAATGGGATGTGTTAGCTCTAA